CTAGGAGAGGTGTGAGTGGAAAATCTACCAGCTGGGAGAGACCGAAGCTGGAGAATACAGTATATGCGAAAGTTCCTTTCCAGCGCGTGATGCAGTGTCACCGCTCCACCAGTCAGAGTTGTGAGCATTGTAGTCACCAGTGAGGAATATGTCAACGGATGAGAGGTCTACAGCCCGTAGGGTATCCGTCATCATGTCACAAAATGAGGTAAGTTCAGGTAGGGATTGCGAAGTAGGGCGATACTGACAGCCAATGAGTATAGGATTAGCACCCAGGCCTGCAGGTAGTCCAAGCTCAACCCATAATATGGTTTCGCATTGGGGAGAGTCAATGTCTGAGCGCTGGGCTGCATGCAAAAATGTCTTATCTCGTACAAGGATGGCAACACCACCATAACCTCGGAACTGGGCCCTTTGGTTCGCTGGTATTGGCCTATCTCGACGGAAGCACGTATACCCAGGTACACTGAGCATAATTATGTATCGGGCAGAGCCAGGTTTCTGTCAGACATAGGATAGTCGGTGTGTTGGATCGACATAATGCATGGAGTTCGGGGATTTTGTTCGACCCGGAGCGACAATTAATCGTAACAATAGTGATATTATGTTGTGTCTTAGGAAAATATGGGAAGGCCTGGGCGCTCAGCGGGGCGGAAGCCATCATTCTGACCAATAGGCAATACTAACAATAAACAATCGTTGCACGTTCTAAATCACCAGTTTCATGTTTATAATTGTTAGTGCTAGACACAAAACGCATAACTTGTAAACTTTTGGAACAAGGTTCATATGGTTGCGTCATTATCACTGCCTTTCAAGGAGAATCTGCCAATTGTTTCCGTCATTATTTGTCACGGACTATTGTCCGCACACAACCGATCTATTCAGTTGTTGCAAACTCGATGCGTTTACTGGAACCTAGTGCATTTTTGATGTGTGCAAGAACAGTACTGTCGGTAGCCTAGACCGTTCTCACATTCGGTACACCGTAACACTTCTTATACAATGTACTTTGTTTCTACACCATGGCTGACAAACGCCCCCTCCTCATCTATATTGGCACTGAATCATCTTTAGCCACTGGAAGGTGTAATAATAATACAACAGTAATAATAACTCACAGCTGCCACATTCATCTACTGCTACCATTCTCAGATACACTGCAAAGGTTCACACTACACGCGTTATGCATAACCGCTAGCTGTGCTGCATTCTCACGCTTCTTTTCATATTACTCTAGCTATATAACTGGTTGTTTTAGTGATTCTTACTATGTGACGATGTTCCACTGATGATGGTCACACGAAAACGTTCTGGAATTGTTTCATTTTAATTGTTTATACATGGTTATGAGTGCACAATTGATATTTTTCATTGCTATTTTACAGTAATAATAATAATAATAATAATAATAATGTGGTTAGAGCATCGCTGGCTACAAGCGAGGGTCCCTGGTTCGAGTCCTGGTGGTGACAGTCAATTTTTTCTTCAGACTTTTCCCGTTTGTCTCTTTCCCTCAAACCAGTTAATATTTTATGACTTGGGGCTCCCCGCGTGCTAGTTTGTACGTGAAGTGTGTGGGTTACAGTGAGGGCTGCGTCCCACCCGCCTGTGTGGATTCACAGGAAGTGTGAGTTACGGAGTCTGAAGAAAATGTTGGGCGGCCTCTGCTGGGATGACGACTACACCATAGCTCAGTGGTTAGAGCATCGCTGGCTACAAGCGAGGGTCCCTGGTTCGAGTCCTGGTGGTGACAGTCAATTTTTTCTTCAGACTTTTCCCGTTTGTCTCTTTCCCTCAAACCAGTTAATAATAATAATAATAATAATAATAATAATAATACGAAGTAGTGGTTGCGACTTCGGGCGATGATTTGTAAGAAAGGTTTGCTCCCCTGGTGTTATCTGGTGTTCACGAGGTGTTTATTGCGCTGGAAGCGGAGCGTCTCTGTAAGTTTGTATCCCTGGTGATGGTTGTGCCTGGAGAGCACTATGTAAGTGGTGCTCTTCAGGCACAATCTTCCTCAGCCTACTCAAGCTCAACTGATGAGGGGTGAATTCCCCGAAACACTGTGTATTGAGCAGGGAGTGGTGCTTTCTTGCAGGTTTGCCGAGTCGAAGGTTCGATGGACTTCTCGTGTGCTCTGGATGGCAGTCGTGAGTCAGTCAAGTGTCAAGTAAATTCGGCGGAATAGCGCGAGCTCCGGTGTGGGGAGCAAACCTTTTGTTGTAAACCACCAGTCTCAATTGGGAAAGGCCTTCGCGCTTATGGCATTGTATTCGTTGAAATGTTGTATTTTCGACTCCGCCGTACCGCGCTGATGTTGCTGCATGGCATACGCTATCTGCGTTGTGTGCGTTTTGCTGCATACGCTGTTATGTCCAGTTTTATCTGCTTATGTTTTGCATGTACGCTGTTTTTGCATGCTATAAATAGCTGGTGTTATTAGTGTTCATTGTTAATTATTCGATGGAGTGAAATATACTGTGTAAAGGAAAGAGTTGTCCTCGTGCCGTGTGGTCGTACGATCCTGACAATTTAGAGAATCTTAGAGGGTTTACAACATTTGGCGACCACGCCAGGATAGGAGCGAGCATGGCAGAGCAACTACACAATTTGGAAGCCAGCTTTATCGCCAATGGAGTTCGGTTAGGATTAGAAGGCGAGTTGTTGATGGAACATGTGGAGCAGAGGCTCCAACAGTACGAGGAGCGTGAGGAGCGCAGTGCCAGACGGCGAGAGGAGGCGCTCCGCACCGAGTTTGACAAAACACTAAAGGAGATTAACGAGCGCATCGCCAATGCGTATGAGGGTGATGGTAAAGCCGCGATGGGAGGTACAGAGGAAGCTCCCAGTAACAGCGGGGGGCGTCAACCGTTGATGAAAATCCCCTCATATGATGGAACGCAGCCATTGGAGCGTTATCTTGACCTGTTCGAGGACATCTGCTCCAAGAACGAGTTCGAAGAAAGCGAATGGCTGCTGCGACTGCGCATCGCGCT